GCAGCAGCAGCAGTAGAAGCAGGAGCAGCAGCAGCAGCAGCAGCAGAACCAGAATATGTCAAAGGGGATAAGTAGCAGAAGCACAATGTCAGCTTCCCGTCCCGTCCTTTGGGACATCCGTTAAAATTGGAACAATACAATGGCCAAAGTCAATCTTTAGACCAGATACGGCAGTCCGGTCCCTAGAATTCGATCCTGCCGAATGGGCCTGTACGCCAAATGTTGCCAGCAGCTTCAAGTCAAAAATCCCAATTCAGGACTACACAGTCAAACTCCGGTACAGACTCTCGCTGAAGACAAAGAATCCAGACCCCATAATCAAAAATAGATGGCAGAACCTTGTGGGCCAGGAAGCCGACAAAATAAAAAAAATTCCGTGGGAAAAATTTAAACGGATTCGACCAATTAAGATTAGAAGCTTGCAGTGGTTGATAGTCTACGCTGCCCTACCGGTGAACCAATGGCTGCACACTCGACGGAAAGCCACAAATCAGGACAGCTCGGAGTTATGCACAGTCTGCTCTTCAGGTGTGGTAGAAGATTTAATTCACTGTCTAGTGTCCTGCGAAGAAGCGACAGACTACTGGGCGAGAGCCTCTTCACTTTGGGGCTCCCTCTTCACGTCCCCCTTCACTGATCAACCCATCCAACTGCTCCTTCTGACTAACATCCCCGATCAAGCTCGGAGAGCGGAAAGGATCTGGTTTGAGCTCATCAGAAAAGTGACGCTATGGGTCATATGGAAAGAAAGATGCAGCAGAACAATTGAAGGACGCGCCAACCCAAGGGAGAAGGTATGGATAGAAACCAAAACAATGATTCAAGCAGAAATTCTTTGCAGATGGCGAAAGATCAAACAGGCCTGGACAGAGGACGAGGAGCAGCGGAAAAAGGAGAGGCTGGGCTTCTACAACAGCTGGCTGCTGATGGGAAAGGTCGCAGAGCTGCGAGAGGACCGGGTATGCTGGAAAGAGTGGCACAACTCAATTCCTGAAAGGGGCTTTCAACAACATTCAGCGCCGGAGGCAATAATTGCGGCTTAAGCCTCAAGGGATTGAACCCCACGCYGCARGATCTTAGGGGAAAARGATAATAGAGGTGACGYGGAGGAAGATAGGCTGGGGAAGGAGAGTGGCTGTCCAAGCTTAAGAATACAGAGTGTGGACTGAGGATTTAGAATGGTCGGTAGCCTTCTGAGAAARGGCTGGAGGACTAAAAGGAGAAACGACAAGGTAACAAAGGCGAGGAGTGTKCTCTCTMTCTCTRGGTTAAATGGTTATATCTGACMRWTCTGGATACCAGGTCTGAGAGGAGAGAAGAGCGAAGGGCAAGCTGACAGTCAATCCTCCACTACGGTGGAGCAATCAATGCTGTTCAGGGGTCCTTCGGCCAGACGGAAGGAAGCGTGTGTGTGCTACTCAAGTTGTATTCTTTCATTCTGACTTGCCGGTGGAATAGGAACCGGACTGACGCTCCCCAGAA